ACTTTAAGCTTTTTGTCAACGAAGTATTCTCAACTTAGACATTTGAGATCCCACCCCGAGTCCGTCTTGCAACGACACGTGACACAGTAAACGGAATGGTTGAGTCTATGCAATAACAACTCCCAAACTCAACAATTTTCACTAAAATTAATGATTAATAGAGCGAACAACTGTTTAACACCTAAAAAGGTTGCTGTTCACAAAATGAAAATTAAAAATTGAGAAATTAACTTACATGTTGGTAAAGAAGTGGAGCTCCAAATGACACCTGGATATTCATCTTCATCTTGAATTATCTGGTTTTGGTTATTATAGCAATCCGTTGTTGAATTAAAACCGCCGTTGCAGGCACAGATGAAGGAATTTCCACGAGGAGCATACCCACATACACCGCCGCTGGCTTCACAGGTGTTGCACTTGTTGTTGATGTAATAATCATCAAACGCACCGTTTGTGTACTTCAACGCCACCCCATACTGCCATTTGCTCGGGTCGGTCGGGTAGTCCTGAAGAGACGCGATGGAGGTGTATCCTGCGCACTTCAACTGGCGGAGGTCGAGCTCACCTTGGGCGTTGAAGTTGGCAGGAGAGTACACGCAGCATGAGTTGGTGGGAGGGAAGAGTGGGAGATCGAGGCTGACGACGGAGGGGCAAGTGTAGATGGAAGCGCAGAGATTGGAGGAGGAAGGGTCACAGACAGGGGAGCCCTTGACGATGAGGGAGGAGGTGGGGGGCGTGCATGAGAGGAGGATGATGATTGATGGTCCGAGCTGGAATGGACTGGCCCAGTCAAGGCCCAAGTTGGGGGATTGTTGCATGGAGTTGCAAGTGGACATGTAGGGTGGGGTGATGGTGACGGTGGAGGTGGCGTAGGATATGGAGGTGATGGGGTAAGAGCCTGTGTGGGTGGTGAGGAGGAGCTGGTCGGAGTTGCAGGTTACGTAGGGGTAGAAACGCGGTGAGCCACAGCCGCAGCCGGTTCCGAACGGGTACTTGACCAGAAGGGATCCACATGTTTTCCGGCACGCCGGGTCTCCGACCACTGAAGTGCTCAAGAGCACTTTGAGGAGGGTGAAGAGGAAGATGATAAAGTCCATTGGCTTAGTTAAGTTGATTGGTGATCTCTATCCGGGAAGGGAAAGCTATGTGGGACTTTAATATTTTCTCTTCAACTTGTTCGTTTTTACTTTTTAGGACACAACAAAACAAAGGCATGATGTAATGATGTTAACAAATAACCCAGGGGCAGAAGAGGAAGAAATCCGTACCAACGAAGGTCGGATGAAATGGTAAACGGCTTGTTTCAGCTTAAGCAAGATCTCGAGTTCGAGACCTTGTGTACGCAGCAACTTTCGTTGGGAGACCCACCCACCATTCTGGTGCGCCACAGCTGGTCGAGTCCGAAATAGTCGAGGCAAAATCCTGGATACCGGGCGGAAAACCAAAAAAAAAAAAAGAAATCCGCAACTACTTTGTAACAGAAGATTTGACGGACAATTGGCCCTTCCACTTCTAAGTATTCGATGAATTTTGAGAAAGTTCTTCCTAGTACTCCTTTACGGTTCATACGCTTGAGGATACAATGCAGGAATTTTGTGGGACATAAGTTTGTTCTTGAACCGATAATCTTTGCTGTGAAAGTGTGAATCCAGCCCTTGAACTAACTTTTTGGGTCGATCAACAATAATTATGTTATTACATTAAATTATAAATTTATAATATCATAATATATAATTTTTTTATTTTAATTATATAATAAAAAATAATTCTATTTTATACTTTATTCTATCTTATTTTATTTTACTTGTATATTATATTACTTAAATTCAAAATTATATTGTTTTTAACAAAAGAAAATTATTACTATATTAATAAAAAATTATAAAATTAACTAACGGTAGAGGAAAACGAAGTAGAAAAGATCGTCACCAATCCGGCCATCTAGCATTTGCTAAGATTTTTATAATTAGTTTAATTAATACCACAATAAGTAGCTCAAGAAAATTTCAAATGCCCCAAAACTACTATAAACTCTTATTTTAAAGAGGCAAAACTCGATGTGAAGTCCGTAAACTTATCTTAAATTTTTAATTAAATCCTTAAATTTTTGTTAAAGTAAATGAACCTTTAAATTTGATGGTTTGGATCATTTAATCATTTTCTTTATGATAGACTTGATATCTATTTGTATGTTACTTGTTGGGATAAAATATTGATATGTCATCACCTATGAGGAGGGTATTGATCTTATCCATGTAAATAAGGTATGAACAAATGTTAATTCTGTTGCCAAAAAAAAAAAAAGTTAAGTTGCCCAAATTATCAAATTCAAGAACTTATTTACTTTAATAGAAGTGTAGGAGTTTAACCAAGATTTTAGGATAAATTTGGTGGTTTAATGTAGAGTTTTGCCTTTTAAAAATAAATACAAATCGAATACCTCTAAGGATTAAATTTATTAATAAACAAATATTATTTTACAAATTAGATTCATATTTAAGTCTTGGGGTTAACCCTTAAAAATATTAATTTACTTGAATACACTAAACTAATATAAAGAATGTGCTTTTAAAGTTATTTGAGAGAAAATAGTTTTAAAGTGTCTAAAAATTATTTCAAGAACATACATTGGCTATAAATAATAATAATAATAAATAAATAAATAAACTAACTACAAAATGACGGATAAAACCCCACCATTCCCTCCTGCGGACGTAAAAGCTAGCAGGGCCAATAATATAGATGAAAACTTCATGGTTTTTAGATCCAAATATTCCTGATAATGATCATGTTCAAAAAAAAAAAAAAAAATTCCTGATAATGATCAATCTGACTAAAAAGGGAACGATTTTTTTAAAGAAGTACCTTAAGCTTAAGGGTACTTTGTTTTTCTTAAATTTATATGAAAATATAAAATTAATATTAATTTTAATAAAATTATTATGTGAATAAATTTAATAAATAATTAAAAATAAATTTTTATTCTTTTAAAATTTTAACTTTAATTTTTAATTAAAAATTTAAATTAATAAGTATTAAATAATCAAAATTTTGTTTATTTTTTTATATGTATAAAATAAAGTGAGTGGAATTCAGATTTTTGGCTCCATATATTTAGGGTACACGTGACAAATTCCTCCCCTGTAAGTACAAGGTAAGGTTTTTTTCTAAAGCTGGTAGATGTGGCACAATTAAATTATTTGTACTTACAAGCGTTGGAAGGATTTGAAGATGCATTTCAAATGTAACTCATATAACACCTTGTGGTCATTTGAGACAACCTTATAAATTACAAATTGTGCAATTTTATTATACCATTAATAATATATTTGGATTAAGGAGGATAGAAGGAAGAAAAGGAATGAAAAGATTTTTAAGTTAATTAAATTATAATATTTATAAAATATTATAATTTGATTAATGAAAAATTTTTTTACTCTCTTTTCTTTTTCTTGAACTTAAATATACAATAAATGATAATATAGAAATGGTTTTTACAGCTCAAATTTCATTCAATTTGGGTTATAAAAATATTTAAATAATTTTATAAAAAAATTTAATATTTTAAATGTCAAACTAAATTATTTTATATTATTTTTTATTTTAAAAAAACAATATTAAAATATTTGTATGGCACCTCATAATTTGATGTGTGGCATAACCATGTCCATATATTTCAATTTTGAAAATACAAGAATCAAACTAACCAATTATTATGAAATTTATGTTATAGGTATAGTGACATAACGACTAACTACGTAAAATTCACCCGAAGAAATTATACTCAAATCTCACAAACCCTTTCTCCATTTCTCCTTCCCTCTAATTCTCTTAATTAGAACAAATTACCTGTGTTTAAAAAAAAAAAAGAAAAAAAAAACACGAAAACCTCACCTGCGCTCGATATCAACACTAGCCACCAGATAAACCTTGTCTTCATTTTGCATGCTCCAGCCTTTGGAACGGTCTACCAAAGATACTACAATGTACTGAAAAGAACAAAAAAAAAAAGTTAAAAGAATGAAATCAACGAAAATAGTTAGAACACATTAAGAACATATTTTACCTTCGTTCAAAAGAGGATGAATTTTTTCACAACTAACTGCACTAAAAAATATTAATTTAATTAAGGTGTGAAAAGTTTAAAACATTATTAATAAATTTTTATGCCTTCGTGGTTTGGTAAGCTATTTTCTTTTTTTTT